TTATCGAATATATTAGTTTATTTTTGTTGATAATTTCTTTACAGTCCCAGTACATGATGCACACATTGTATACATGATGTATGCTTTGAATTTGCCCTAAATTTACAATGCAATATAATTAGATTTTGTAAAAAAGGAACTCTCAAATTTTATAAAACATTTGAATTTAAAAGTATTATACAAAAACTCTCAAAATACACGAAATTTTATAACTTTATTACAGAATCTTTGTACGCCTAATTGTAGTAAATTTAGATTATTTTCAATTCAAAAATACAATTATATATGTAGGTAAAAACTTTCTCTGGGAAGAGATGAATCTATTATTTATTTGCATAAAAAAAACATAAAAGAAAAATTGTTTAAATTTTTTAAAAAGAGATGCGATTTTCTCATTGTTTTTTTTGATTTCATGAGAATAATTATTAGATTTTTACCTTTTTTTCAAAATTAAGTAAATATAAATACTGCAATAATGTAAAACTAAGATAGAAAACAAATACTTTATATATATGTACATAAATGTTATTGTAAAAACAAATTATAAAAGTATGATTTATATAAGAAATAATAGATAATTTCACTTTTAATTCATATCTGGAAATTCTCATTGAAGGCATAAAACAAAATGAAGCAAAAATATGTCACAATATAATGCTGGTTTTATTTTGTTCAACACAAAAAAAACAACAACGGTTGCATACTAAAAAATAAGAAAATAAAAAATAAGTAGTAGTAGTAGTTATTAAAAATCATAATAACAATAATTTATAATAGTAGTTATAGAGTTAGTAACAATACATTTATACCCATATAAATAACTATTCTTCTTCATATAATTAATTTATTAAACCCTACACGATTTGTATAGAAATTATTATTATGTACAACGATTATTATAATCTTAATTTACTCTATACAATTTTAATGACTTGGTATTATAATAATAAAATTTCATTTGATATCAAAATTTTATATATACTTAATTTTCCGGCAAATGGACCATGAAACTGTTCATTGATATGACGATGTTCAAATAAAATTGTAACAGTAGTTGTTTACATATTCGAAAAAAATCTAAGATTAAATATAACACTAAAGTCTGATGACTGTTTACATATCAGACTGAAATTATCTGACGACGCTCAGATTTAACGTCAAAATTTACTAATTTTGCTACGAAAGTTATAGCCAAAATAAAAATCAGTCGACTGTTATTCAAAACTTTCAAAAAAAAATTAACTGTCACCATTTAACTTTTAAAAAATCTAACAGTAAGTCTGACAAGAATAGAGTAATTTTTATTATTGGCCGTAAGACAAAATCTGATAACAAGGGTTAGAATACGACAAAAAATCGTACATTTTGTCGTATACATATGTACAACTAGTAACAAACGAAAGCATATGATACGAACTGTTAACGTAAATAACTATCTTTGTGATGAAGTTGTCATTTTTTATTTAGGTAATTAATATTTAGCTTATTAAAAATCAACTTTTTTATCGAAAAATATTTTTCCTGACACAATTCATTTCCAGTTGAATAAATTTGTTTGCAAATAAAATTGTTATACTTTTTTAAATGTTGCAGTATAGACTCAGTATTATCGTCAATGGTACTATACGTATATCTACTTCAGTTTTAGAAAACAAACAATAATGAAGTTGTAAAAATCCGAGCCTGAAAATGTGTGGCAAAGTGACAAATAATAAAGTTGGGTCAAACCAATGGTTTGTATTGTAGCACTTTTCCCTTCAACAAGTGAAAATTCTGCTTTTAAATACAGTCTATGTATACCTATCACACTATAAAAATTATTTTCATTCATATACAAAACTATTACTAGGATTGCATATATTTAGGATGACGCATATATGCAGTCTTTGAAATAAAGCAAAAATTAACATAAAAAGGGGTTAACATAATGCTCGATTTTAAGGGTTAATTGTGTGAGTTAAGAAAAATAATTATATTTTTTAGTGTCACGAAATTTACCGTTAGCTTTTTGCGTTTATAAAAATTTGGAAAAGCTTGCGGTTTCGGAAATATAGGGTGTCAAAAATTCAAATTTTACGATTTTCAAGAGGTGATAACTTGAGAGGGGGTGGAGATGGAAAAAAAATTTCTTGTAACGAAATGAACTATTTGTTAATGTCTAAAAGCCCCTAAAATTTCAAAGTTCTAGAATATAGGATCTAGAAGAAAAACGACATCAAAAATTTGGAAAAAAAGGACTTTAGATAACGGTAAATTTCAACGGCCATTTTGTTTTTCTAAAGTTTAACTATAGTATACCGCGCTAGGGGAAGCAAGCCGCTGCCTTTCTGCGTTTGCAAAATTTCAAAAATACTTATGGTTTCATTGCAACAAATATTTAAAAAAGGCCATTTTTAGGGTTTTTGGGGGGTATAACTTCTAGAGGGGGGGAGATAGGTAAAAATTTTGTTCTACGAAAATAAGTTTCCAGTAAAGATCTATGTATATATAAAATTTCAGCTTTCTATCTTCAAGGGTGTAGAAGTTTTGTAAACAGACACACGGACGGACGGACGGACGGACGGACGGACGGACGGACGGACGGACGGACGGACGGACGGACGGACAGAGTGAAACTAATAAGCACTTTTTTCAAAAAATTTTTTGGAAAAGTGCTAAAAACAAAAATAAAATTCAAATGGCAACAAATTAATTTTCCATTAAAATTCATTCACTTAAGTAAATTCGTTTTTAAATTTCAAGCTAATATAAAATATACTGTCAAACATCGACTTTCACAACATATGGTTACAAGCAAACATAGAATTTCCTTAATTTTATTCAAAATTTCACGATTATTATAAAATAATAAACAAATTGGGAAATAATAGTGAATTCGAATTAAAAATAGAATTTTAATTATAAAATAAAAAAAAATGAATTTTTGTGAAGTGTAAATGTACTCTCCAATATATCCCAATATAAACTGTAATAACCCAATAACCCGTAAGCTTTGCCAATTTTGCTTTACATTTTTTTTGTATTATTGTTCACTTTTTTCGTGTTTTTTTGTTTTTTTTTTTTTAATTCGGCATATTAGAAAATATTTAAAACTTTCGATTTTATTGTTACACTGAACTTTTTATGTGGGTACAACAGGCAAAAACAAAAAAAAAAAACATGAAAGCAAAATAACATTTATGACAAATAAAGCAAAAAAAAAGTTAGCAAAAGCGAAGGAAAAAAAAACAAAAGCCAAAAAAATAATTATTGCTTTGTTTTTATTATATAATAAAAAAATAATCACAAAACAAGAAAGAAAAAACCCCAGCACATTTCTAATTTGAATAAATTAAAAACTAAAACAATAAATACAATTAAATTTTTTACAAAACTAATTGAATCAAAAAGTTTTGTTAAGTAAGGCCAAAAAATAATAAAAAATTGTCACTTTCATATACAAAAAAAACAAAAGCTGATGTGATCAGCATATAATCAACCATAAAGTGTATGTTCTCTTTTAGCCAATGTGTTGCACAAGATTATAAAAAAGCCTATTAAAAATTTCTTTCAAATTTCAAGAAATTTCATCAATTAGTTCTTTAGATATTGTAAAATTTAGTTCCTTAGACAAAATCGGCCGATATGATAAAGAATGTAAATCCGATCTCCGAACCCTGATGTTTCCAAAAAATTTATATGTCCATTATTTTAAAACTCTGCATTTAAATATTGAATTCCATGGAAATTAATTGATTATTCCTTTTAACATACGTAAAAATGCAAATTAGACTCATAGTAAAAGTCCAGTCGCTAATACAGGATTCTAAAAATTAGGTGGATTCTTTTACTATCGGACGAAGCTTATATATAAGATTTTAAGAAAATTTGCTGAATATGCTCTTAAAAATGATTAAAAATGTAAAATAAAAGAGCCTAAACCTAAATATATCTTAAATGTCAATTAATCCGTAACATATAGTTAAAGTAAAATCATATGTATATAAATTTTCGTCAAAATTGGTTTAGTCGAACTTGAAACACACGCATGCTTACACAGACCGACAAAGACATCTTTCTTAAAATAAGATTATTTAAGCTTCCCTAGCATTTCTGAAACACATTCCTGTCGAAAACTCGACATTTGAATTTTGGCCCGATCACATGACCTCCGTTATTTTATGCACTATGGTCGGTAAAAATTTAATTTAATTTTAATTAAAATGACAATAGGAATGCAGACAAATAACAATTTTTTTTTGTTTTTTTTTTGTTATATACTTGAAATGTGTCGAAAGTTAATTGTATGCTAAACAAGAAAAGAAAAAAAGAAATAGAAAATATGAACATATGTGAAGGTCTAAAATTTATTTTTAAATTAAATTGAAGAAATCAAAAAGAAAACATTTTCTTTTATTCAAGTTTAACATATAAGATAAGGGTCAATATGATTTTTGTATTGAGAATTGTTCACAATATTTATACTATGTATAACAAAGAAATAATGTTAAATTTTATATCGGTTGAAGGTGATAACAATAATTCACCCCCATGACCATTAACAAATTTTTTGGTTGACAATGGTATAAGAAGTAAAATAAATAAAATTTCAAAATTAACCTTAAAATTTTTAAAACAAATGCTACAGTTGGAAGTAAAGAAAGCTCTATTAAAAATAATTTAAAAGTAATTTAGAAGTAATACGCCACTATAACAACAGTGCCATACTAACGTAGAAGTTAGTGTGGCGCTGTTGTTGGTCACACGTAAGTGTGCAGCAAAAAATTTTGGTTTAAAATCAATGATGATAAAAAAAATTTTTATTAATTTTCCTGTCTACATATTTAATTTCATAGTTTTTGAGTTTTAGTCCCGATTTGACACTTAATTGATCATTCGTAATATCATGTTAAACAAGGATATTTTTAATTAATTTTTTTTTTTGCTCTTTTTCAACTAATCACTGTAGATCATACACTCGAACATATAATAATATGAATAAGAATATAGAAATCACTTACCTTAGGATGACTTCTACGTCGAAAATGTGGTGGAAGTCCAGGTGGTTGTAATGGTACTGCTGGTTCTGGTGTTACTGTTTGAACAGGTCTTGGTGGTTTTAAAGCTAATTTTTTTAAACTAACAATTCTTTTATCGCACATTAACGATACATCATTTAATCTTTCTAAAACCTGAAATTAATATTAACAAAACAAAAAAAAAATTAATTATAATTAGATATTTAAACAAAATTTTTTGATATACATATAACAATTACATAAATAAGTTTTGAATTAGAGTTAAAAACATTTGAAATTTGAAATTATTTTGAATTGAAATTTTTTTATTGTAATTTTATTCATATTAAAACAAATGAATTTACAAAATTATGCAATATTTTAATTTCTTTAGTAACTGTTATACTATTAAATTTTATATTTTAATTTCATTTGTATAAATTGAACAATTATATTTTAAAACTTTAAATTTGACTATTATACAAGATAATAAATAATAATAGCAAAAATTAATTTTATGAAATACGATCATTAATTATTATAGGGACAATTTTTTTTTTTTTTTGTTATACTAATTTTATTTTGGTCTACTTTCACTTACTCAATTTTTAATTATAAATTTGAATAATAAAATATGTAGCTATGTATATATAAAATTAAAAATATTTCATATTAAAGTTCATTATTGTTATACTTCATCACTAAAATAAAAGCTTAGTAATTTTGATAAGATTTTACAATACAAAACAAAAAAAAAATTTATTATAATAGAAAAATTATTTCACACGCTATTATTTATTTTGTGTTTTTTTTGACATTTATTCAAAATGACAAAAAATATGTATAACACATTGGAGATTGTATTTCTTTACTAAAATCTAAAGCATGTAAATTTTAAGGAAATCAAGAGAAACATGTTTTGTTTAATTTTGGGTGCAGATTATCGATCAAATTATTATTATTGTTATTATTATTACAGTTGATTATTATTATGGTTATTATCATTTGTGCATAATTATAACCAAAAATTTACTATACTTTGCATGATGACCGCGCATATAGATTATGTCAGATTGCAATAATCGTGTGATATTTCTTGTCTTTTAGACAAAATATTATATAGGAAAGGCCTAATATAACAAATAATATTGAAGATTGAAGATTTATGTTTATTTTAAAATGAACATAGTTTCTATTTTGATAACACTATTAAAATAATAAAATAATTTATCGTATATATGTATATATAAATCAGTTATACTTTTTAAATATACAATATAACTTTAAAATATTATGTATTCAATATACAAAAGAAATAAAGTAAGAGAGAAGAAAAAAAAACGATATAATAATAGTTAAAGTTATTCAATAGTAAAAACATAATAGGTGCAATAAAAATCTAATAAATATAAATATGACAAGATAATTTTATGAATATCCGCAAAAACATTTTTTATTAAATTTAGGTTAAAAATTACATAATTTTAGGCGAAATACGAAAATTTATATATGTACATACATAATTATGTGTATTGGCTGATATTATATTTAAATTTTATAAAATATTATAAAAATATAATTAGAATTCATTATTGACTTAAATAATCGAATTCAAATAATTAATATAACACTTAATAAAATTAGAGATGAGTTATCGGAATGACAAAGTTGTAAATTCAAAATTATTAGTTTGATCTTACAAAGGGATCTTACAATTCTTCTCTCTATAATAGTAGATGTCAAATATGTACAATTAATTCACTGTCAAACTATTATAGTTGTCAAATTATTGCATTAAATTTTAATAATTGCCAAATATAACTTAAATTCTAACCTAATATATTTGGTATTCTAAAAAAATATTTGCTAAAAATAAATTTTCATATGAAATGCAAAAAAATATGAATAATTGCCAGATAAAATTAAATTTAAATGGTTATGAAAATTAACTAAAAATTATTGACGCCCGGGCTTGACGCACTTCAAGAATTTCATTATGTTCTCCAAAGAATGGAGAAAGGAACTGATCGGAGTGAATTTTCCAGTTCAGTTCTGAAACTAATACTTGGGATGCTCATTTAACATTGTCTCTCCTTATTCCACCTGCAAAGTATAGGAAAATAGAGAGTGAGCTGTGCCGTCTCATCTTCCCTTAGACGGAGCACTACTGTGAGACTGAAGTTCTTCGAAGGGTGTTTTATGGTCTCTTTCAAGATATACAACAATATAATTTCCTAATGATTATCATAATTAAAATTGGCTACCTTCCCAAATATTTTTTGTATAATTTTTAAATTAATAAAAAAAAAAAATCACACTATCAAATTGAAGTGAAATTAAATATTTTACTTAACGTCTATACGAACTTTTATATTTGATTATTTAAATACGAATTTATATGTGAAAAAGTTTATTGACTTCAAGATCATGATCAAGTCGACAACTTCAATAAACCAAAAAAATAAATTGAATAATTTTAATTTATGCGTACACCGTACTGGCGTTGTTTTTTTATTTGATTTTTCTTTTTTTTCTCTTTAAATTTCAATATTAAGCATTTTTATTAACTTGGACATTGACTATTCATAAATTTTTTTTTTGGTAAAAATATTATTTGTTTTTTAAATTTTTTTTTTTATATTGATAATTTTTTATGAATTAATTAATTGAAATTTAATACTAAATTGTTATTACTGGCTACCGGTCAATAATCAAATTGGTATAATAAGAAGTCTGTGTAAAAATAATAAAATATTTTTCTCGATTCTAACGAATAGGATTTGTAATAAATTGATTTTTGATTGGAATTTTAGGAATAAAACTGGTTTGAAGTGACGTTAGACAAATCGGCTCAACAATTCAACAATCTCTTGAAATTTAACAGTTGAGAAATTTATTGTAATTGGTCTAGTATTTTATCTTTTTTTTTTGCAAACATTTTCCAATACTACTAAAACCCAAAAATTTAACAATTTTTGCAGTCACTAATAGTAGATATGTGTGCATATGTATGTGCATATTGAAATCGATCGTTATCTGACAAATGAAATGCAGATTCCATAATCGAAAATATAAATCAACGAAAATACAGACTAATCTGGAATTAAATTTAAAAAAACCATTGAAACCATATAGCTGAACAAGCCTGATCTATTATAGATCATTATTTTAATGAAAGAAAAACAATAGGCGAACATTTTCATTAATGACTTCAAAAATGCAGCATCAATACTATTACAATTTTGAACCAATTTTGATTGTTCAAGATATATTCAGTTTTTAAACTTAGAGAGAACGTTAGCTAACATTAGCTTTGGTTAGGTTCTTCATTTACAGTTTATAATCGAATTGCATTGCTCAATAAAATATTTTGTGACCATAAATAAATTTCTTATGCACCTATATAACCACATTTATGATAAAAATTATATTTATAATTATTATTTCATACAATCCATAAAATTATCATATAATTTTATAATCTACAATAAATTGTATATATTATTTGCGCAATTCAGTTTTTTTTCAATATAGAAAAAAAATAAAATTTAATAATATTTTTATCCTATTTTTGAATTATTACAAATAAAAATGACGTAAAGTTTCCCGTCTAACAAAATTTATTTTCGGTATTAAATTGAAATAATTTATCGTATAAGCATATAGCTGAGAATAAAATTTTAGTACTTGTATAAGGAGAGAATTAAGGTTGCATTGCAATAGATTCAAAATATAAAATGAAGCATTCATAAATATAGACATGCAATTAATCACACGTTTTTGACGTTTATGTTTTTAAAACAAATTCTGGTTATGTCATTTATACATGCATACAAACGTAACTTGTATCCCTTATGTAATAATTATTAATATTGTGAAAAAAATCAAAATTATTACCTTTTTTATGTAGAAATGACATTTTTTATTAATGATTACAAACATTTGCCCAAAGATTATATGCATTTTATTTTGTTTTTTGAATTGCAGCATTTTTAAAAAAAAAATTATTTTTTGAATATAGAAATAATAAATATGAAATTTCTACACTAACACTTTCAATTAATTTATTTAAAAAAATAAAAATTTCTTCAACTTTCTTGAAATCTTCCTTATTAATACATCGGATTGTCACCTTTTAATAGAAAATAATTTCCCATAAATTATTCGAAAAAAAAAAAAAATATTTAAAAAAAATATTTTTGACAAATTTTTTTTTTTCACTGTTTTGTTTTTACTTTAATTTTTGTTATTTTTTGTTTATTTTTTTTTTTAGATAGAGAAATTGCATAAAAAAAGAAGATGATAAAAGCGCACTCGACACGATTGATCCAATGATCTTTTCCGTTTCTAAAAAGGAAACTTTGTTTAATATTGTTCATTTGAAATTTATTACCTGGAAGAGTTTTTTATTTTTGTTTTTTTTTTTAATTTATTTTATACAATTTGGGATTTTGTCGTCAATAATATATAGATTGAAATCATATGGGAAAAAATTCGAAAAATACTAAAGAAAACAAAAAAAAAATAAAAAAACATTTTTAATCATTTTACTAAAAATAAAAGCGCAAACAAAAAAAAAAAGAGAAAGAAATAAAATTAAAAAAAAAAATGGATATAAAAAACTTTTAAACGAAATTTTCTCGACTTTCAGTGATTTCAAAATTGTAGTAATACTCTAGGTCCACAGATTATGTAATAAAATCAAAAAACTTGCAATGAAACAATCCAAAAGCTATATGGTTGCCGATGATTCTCTAAACGAAAGGACTGTGAAATATAGTCAAGGTTGTACATCCATTGGAACGTGGACAGTGAATGCTTGAAAACTAGCTTATAGCCGGAAATGGCAGGATTCCTTACTTTCCAGAGATATATACCAAAGTTTCATAACAAATATTAAAGGCCTTTTCATAAACGTTTTTAATAATATTTTGCTGAAAAATTTAAAATTACAAAATATAATTTTGAATTGAATTTAAATATTTTACTGGGATTTGATCATAAACTAAATATTTAACATGATCGCAACTGCACAACATTATTCAACGTCATAACTGTCACAGCAAACAAAATAATATTAAAGAAAACCATTTTCCAGAAATCTAGTTAAATTTAAAAATAGTTAAGATTTTCTGAATTATTCACTTTGCGAGATTTTTCTTGATTTATAAAGG